AAAAAAAATTTTTTTAATTTTTAAGAGTTTGAAGATGGCAACCACAGAACATTAAGCCAAGCCCAGGACGCTCTGTGACTGCCCGGGTCAGCCGCCTGTGTAAGTAGCCCTGCTCCTGCGAAGATTTAGAATTTACCATTTGAGGCATAGGTACCACCCATTGTCTCCCATGCCCCCCTCCCCCTCATCCCCCTGCCGTGTGCTTCCAGCTGCAAAGTACAAACACCCAAAGCAAACTGGCTTAAGCAACAAGGAAATGGACGGGGTGCCATGACTGAGAGTCAAGAGAAAGCTTGGGCTTCAGGACGTCCCTAATGCACTGGCTGTGACTCAGTTTCCCTGCCTTGCTCTGGGTTCTGCCCTCTTGGGCAATGACATCATCCTCAGGTTGGAAGCAAGAATGGCTGCACATTGGGCCCCCCCCAACTGTGCACAACATGCCGTGCACCGACCCAACCTTGGATTCTTTGACCAAGAACTAGCAAGAAAGGGGGCTCTACAGCCCCCCCCCCCCCATCCAGCTGAGCTCAGCCCCCAGACCACCTTGCTGCTGCGCTGGGTGTTGCAGAGACAAACCACACGACCGCACCAGTGCCCTGCCCACATTCCTTGGTGAAAGCTGTCATGAGCTGCCATGTTCTCTAGCATATGACATTGACCTCGAGCCATATCTATTTGGGACACGGGTGCCCCAACCTGAGGACCAACAACCGATCGGTTATATATTGACCTGTATAGAAAGATGGATTAGACCAGATTGTTGCTCTGGGCGTTTGAAGGAAGAAACCATAGGACTCAGAGAGAAGGAGGACCAGTTAATGTTCAAAACTGAAGTTTAAACATTACAACATGAAAAGAAGTCAGGGAGGCCACAGAGGGTCTCGTGCTACCAAAATCATGAACAAGATCCGGGTCCAGCAGAAGCCATAGGGTAGAGATCTTGAGCAAAAGGCGAGAAGCAGGAGAGTGGGGGAACAGAGGACCCGAGTAGCCTGGCGGAGCCCCAGAGTGAAGCCCATAGAGTCCTGCTCCCGAGGGCCTGAGGGCAGTCCAGCCTCTGGCGGCATTGCCCAGCCTCGCCAGCCCTCCTCGTTCTTCTCCTCTATTCGCTCAGTAGGTTTTTCTCACAACCAGAGGAGTCCTGCTTCAAACAAGGATCTTAGATTTAACTGCACTTTTCGGCTAAGAGGAGAGACATACAAGAAAAGAGCCCTTCATTCATTCAACACGCACCGAGAACTCCAAGCCGAGCACTCTGCCAGGCTTTGGGGACGCTATGGGCGGCCGGTCCTCTCAAGGACCTCGGTGTGGCCTTGGGGGAGGGGACAAGACAGGTGAGCAAGTGATTACCCTGTGGTGCAATGATAGGGAGAGGAAGGAAATGATTCAGAGTCCCCAGACTCCTCCTTCTCTGAGGGAAGTGTCCCCAAAGCTTAAACCACGTTCGAAATAGATGCTCTGAGCCAGCGTGAGATGGAAATATTGAGTAAAAAACAAGCATATGGCAAATTTCTCCGGTTCCCCTCCCCACTGTTTCCCCTGGATCTGTAATCCTTCCACTTCCATGAAAAAGAATTAAAAACAAATAACCAAGGTTTATCCAGAGAGCTTTGCACAGATTAGTCCTTGCAGTGGGTAAAGCCCGCAAAGTACGGCTTGCAGATACTGAGAACGCTGATAACCAAAACCATATCCATGGTAACTGATCGGAAACATAGGAAATCTATGACATAGGAATCTCTGATGAGACAGAGTAATCAGATGGATGATAGTGACTTATGAATCTAGTTACGGAATTTTATGAGAAAAAGAAGAGGAGGGAGAAGGAAGGGGGTTCGCTTCTCAACACAACATCCATCTGCGTCAGAATAAATAACCTCACCTTGATTCCAAGGGACTCACCTTTCTCTCTGAAAATATCCAGGGATATTGCGTGCGTATTGGCAGGTTGGTGCCGGCTGGGGATGGGGCATGAGGAAGAACTTGCCTATTTTTGTGGGGAAGATTGAGCCACACTTTCCTGATTCACTTATCCTACAGGCATTCAATAAACCCACTGCACATTCACGGACCGATATTTGATATTGAAAGGCTGGTTTAAGGAAGCCTTAGGTCCCGTGGGTGAAAAATCTTGCGGTCAGAACTCTGAAGCAAAGAGGTGCAAGGAAATTTGCTCCAAACTTTGGAGGGGGACATTAGCTTAATTCTGAGGGACAAAATTACAGACTTTCCCCTGCCTTGCCTCATGGAGACCTCCTTAACATAACAGGATGTGCTGTTAAAATCTGAAAGAAATCGCACCGCATAAATCATCAAGACTGAAGTTTAATTTTTAGATTACAAGAGAGAAAAGCGAGCCTGAGAAGACCGCCCTAAGGTCAGCCAAAGGGGACGGGAATTGATTTCTCATGAAGTCATGGTTCAACAAACCCCTGGCCAGATGTGACCTGGCAAATGTCCACATCTGTATCAGAGAATCCAAAGTGCCATCCTTTCGTACTTAGAAAATAGATTAATAACAAGGCAAGTCACGATCACATTAACAACACGACAGCTGCCGGTCTGATGAATCGGAATGGGCAGAAGTATATGGAACTTACATTTTCGGAGTCAATGAGTTTTGATAATTGAGTTTATCCCTTGTGATGAGTACAGTTCTAGGAAATCTAGATAAAAGTGTTATGGGCTCTGTTTGCCTAAGTTATTTCCTGAACAAGGACCGTTAGCTCTGTATCAGTTTTTTGGACATTTTGTTGTCATTACATCCAGAATAAGATGTTCAGTGGCATTCTCCAGCACCGTTTGCACCCCACAGAACCCCCTTTATTTTGTAAAGTAATCTATGGAAATATCTGGAAATCACCCAGAAGAAAGGCGGCTCTCTGCTTGGTGAATGGCTAGGAGGGGCTGACCCTTTTCACCCCTGCCCCCGCTGTTACACACAGTAGCCCCTGGGGGGATCCTGGGGAGCACAGTTTGAAAACCACTGCACAATCCACAATGGAGCTCCACGATTCTTTCCTAGTTAATGGACTATCACTGAAGCTTCAGGAGGATTTGGGCTTGGGTTGGCCTTGGTTTGGGTCTGCATGGGCTGGCCCAGGAGAAAGCTGTCTGGGAAAAGAATGCACTGAGGGCCAGGGGCAGGGATGGGAGGGAATCTGGGGTGGAAGGAGCCTGGGAGTCACCCAGAGAGGGTGCCTGGGATGATACGATAGGAAGGAAGAAGACAGATTGGGAATTTGGGAGGAGACAAGGTTATAAAGGGTCTTGAATACCAAGCTAAGCAATCTGGCCTTTGTCCTGTGTCACTAGGCTCTGTGACTAGTTGATTAGACTAGTTCCCTAAGGCTCCCATAGCAAAGATCCACAGACTGGGGGGCTTAAACAACAGGAATTTATTTCCTCACAGTTCTGGAAGCTGGAAGTCTGAGAGCAAAGTGTTGGCAGGCTGATTTCTTCTGAGGCCTCTCTGCTTGGCTTATGGATGGCCACCTTCTCCCTCACGCGGTCAGCCCTCTGTGTGTGTCTCCTCTCTTCTTAGAAGGATAACAGCCACGCTGGGTCAGGGCCCACCCTAATGATCTCATTATTTGACTTCATCACCTCTTCAAAGTCCCCCATCTCCAAATACAGTCACATTCTGAGGTGCTGGGGGTTAGGGGTTCAATGTATGAATTTGGGGGAACACATTTCAGCCCATAACATTGAGATTTATAATGTAAAGCACACACACACTCTCTCTCTCTCTTTTATTTTTAATTTTTTAATGTTTGTTTATTTTTGAGAGAGAGACAGACAGAGAGACAGAGCATGAGTGGGGGAGCGGCGGAGACAGAGAGGGAGGCACAGAATCTGAAACAGGCTCCAGGCTCTGAGCCCCCGTGGCTGAGCTGCACCCCAGCGCAGGTACCAGGAGAGGTGGCTGTCATCTGGTGCCCGCGGGAGGATGCATTCCAGAGCACCACAGGAGTTCAGGCAAGAGAGGAAGAACAGTGTAGAGGGCAGAAAGTGTGGCGGGCATTTGTGCGGGACTTGACCCTGGAAGGGTGGGCAGGGCTGGGCTAGGCCAATGAGGGGAGGGTCTGTGTTGATAAAGAGGTGAAGGAAGAGCCACAGGACAGGCTCTGCAGCTGCCTGTACAGTTCGCAGACCTCCATGTGTGAGGTCTGGACATAGCCACACTCATTAGCTTAGGAAGCCACTGCTTCTCCGAGCACGATATTTAAATAGGAAGGACTTTGCCCTGACATCTGCATTGATCCTGAAGACATGCCCGGAGGTGATGCCGAGAGCCCCCATCCTCAGGAAGAACATTTCCTTCCTTCAGCGATTGGGTTTTGGGTTTTGTTTTGGTTTTTGGGTTTTTTGTTTTTTTGTTTTTTTGTTTTTTTGTTTTTTGCATTTTTATCCTGTTGCAACACACTAGGCAAGCTCTCATTCCCTCCAAAGCCCTCCCAGGCACTCACACCAGCCCCCGGTTGGAGGATAAAGGAGGCACCCCTTCTAAGCAAGTCACAGGGAACCTGACATCCACCATCACGTGTGTTTCAATGGCACTGATTTTAAAGGAATTTTTAGACGGGCTCAAATAACAATCTGGAAAAGCCAGACTCCAGAGAACAATGAGAAAATGCAAAGAAGCCAAATATAAAAATCCTGGCACATGCAAAAGAAAAGAAAAAAAAAATCAATTCACTTCCCCAGATTACAACTGGAAATTCCCAGAGGAACAGGTAGATTTTTTTTTTTTTTTTTTTTTTTTTTTTGGGGAAGAGGAAAAGAGATTATATTTTATGGGAAGAGATACAATAACCATTCTCTCCCCATAAAGCAAGTGATGGAAGATTGTCTCTGCTCCATAGATGCACACTGCACATTCTCGGGATAATACCAACAGGAAATCAATAGGATCTTTTATATGTGAAAAGACATTATCTCTCACAAAAACTTGCCACTCACTGTTAATCTTGGTCCTGAGACAATAAGTAGCCTTTAAATCGAGATCTCTGTTTATTTTTAAGTTATCCTTATTATTTATTTGTTTAGAAATAATCACGTTCAAAGCTTCACCCTTCATTAGGGCCAGAGGGCCTTCAGATAACGCTTCATGACAAGTGTCTCCACCGTGGGCCAGACGCTCTCCAGAAACCTCCCTCCCGGCCGCATCCACTCCGGGTGAACGGCCATATCGTTAGCCACCAAAAGCTTTATCAGGGCATAATTTGGCAGCTGTGACGAGCTCGACGGGATTTATGGGATCTCCTGGTTTTTTGCCTCCATTGATCTGAAATGGAACCAAAGTTAATATTAGAAAAAAGCACTTTGTGCTAGGGTAATTTTCCCATGAAAGGCTTTGGCGACTGGTGGCTTTGAACATCTATCATCCAAGTGCTCTTGGCCAACTCTAGGTCATGAGTTTCATAATACCCAAAAGACTAAATATCCTTGTCTCTCCTCCCGTATGAGAATCTAACCACCATCCTGGTGAACTCTCTCATTTTTCCAAGACACTAATTTAATTGTCACAGGGTATAAACCCCATTAATATCAGGTTCGGATTTAGCACTGGCTCTGACCTTGTATTAGCTTCCTGGGGCTGCCCTAACAAAGTGCCAAAAACTAGGTGGCTTAAAACAACAGAAATTTCTTCTCTCACAGTCAGCAGGCCTGAGCTCTATCTGAGGACCTTGGGGGGGGGGGCGCGGTGGGGGGAGGGAGGATCCTTCTCTGTAGCTTCCAGCTTCAATGGCAGACAGATGTCCTTGGTGACCCTAGGCTTGTAGCTACAGGGCTCCAGTCGCACGGCCACCCCTCCCTCTGTCTTCATGTGGTCTTTCCTGGCTGCACGTCTGTGTCCAGGTTTCCCTTTTCCATAAGGACGCCAGTCACATTGGATTAGGACCCACCCTAATGACCTCATCTCAACTTGATGACCTCTTGCCAAGTCATCTTGGTGACCTCAACTTAAAGACCCTATTGACAAGTAAGGTCACATTGTGAAGTATTAGGGATTGGGACTTCCACGTATCTTTTTTGGAGGGCACAACTCAGCCTAAAACAGCCCTCAAGGAATTCATCTCTTATTACACACAGACTAGATAACTTGTCATACGATTGGGTTGAATTAGGGGTTCTTGACCTCTACACAAGTAACATCGTGTTCGGATAATTCTTTGTCCTGTGTATTGCAGGATGTTCAGCAAAATCCCTGGCCTTTACCAACTAGAGGTACAGGTAGCCACCTCCTGCCCCTTTTGATGACCAAAAGCGTCTCCTGACCCGGCCAAAGTCCCCTGAGGGGGCAACGTCGCCCTGACAGGACCAATGACTTCAATGAAATGTAAACCAAGCTTATGAAGGTGCTTCATGCAGACTGAACCCTTAAGAGCTGAGGGTAGTTCTATGTCAATCAAAGAAGAGTCCCTAAAAGAGATGGGTCCTGAGGAGTCCCCTAAACGTCTGCATTCCTTCATTAATGTAACACGCATTTACTGGGCACGGTGAGAAAAGCAGAGGACGAAAGAGATTTTGAAACCCCTGCCTTAGACATCATACATTTTAGCGGGGAGGCTGAAAATAAACAAGATGAATAAAACATATAATATGTTTAGATATTGATGAAAGGGGATGAGCGCAAGACGAAAGCGAGCAAGGAGGACAGGAAGCGTTGGCAGGAGAGGTGCTGGAATTTTCGACAGGGTGGCCTGGGAAGGGCTCACTGAGATATGGGTACACACCTAAGAAGTTGGGGCTGGGGGCTGGGCCACAAAGATTTGGAGCAAAGACCTTGCAGGCAGGGACATTCCTGGGATGTGTGAGGAACAGGAAGAGGCTTGTGCAACAGGACAGATAAGGCGGGGCTTCCGGGTCCTAGCAAAGACATGCTGGCACTCCTGGTGACAGGAAAAATCAGCGGACACGTGTGTGGAGGGATGACCCCTGGCCCAGCATGGTGGGTGACAGGGCCTGTGGCGAGGTTCTGAGCGCATATCTGAAGGCACAGCTGAGCTTTAGTGGTGGGCCGGAGGTGGCCTGGAAGAGAAAAAAGGGGTCTTTGGCTCCCGCCAATGGAAAAATCGAGGTGGCATTAAGGGGGACGAGAAGTCTGCATAAGGAGCAGGTATGAAGGAAATATCAGAAGCAAGATCAGGAGTTACTGGAATGAGAAGACTCGGGTGTTTTACGTGACAAAATTTACCATTTTGACCACCTTTTAACGCTACGGCTCTGGGGCACCTGATACGTGTGTTGTGCCTCCATCACCACCATCCATGTCGAGAATGTTTACATCTTCCCCGCAGGTACGCTGAACTCCTTAAACAGCCCCACTGCTCCCCAGCTCCTGGTGATCACCAGCCTTACTCTGTCTCTGTGAGTTGACTGCTCTAGGAACCTCACGTCAGTGAGGACTCTCACAGTGTTTGTTCTTTTGCGACCGGCTTACTTCACTCAGCATCACGGATGAATTTCAAGGTGCATCCACATTATAGCGTGTCGGAATCCCCTTCTTGTTTAAGGCCGAGCAATATTCCATTGTGTGTATGGACCACGTTCGTCCGTGGACGGACACTTGGCCTTCTTCCACCTTTCCGCCATCGCGAATAACGCTACTCTGAACATGGGCGTACAAATGTCTGTTCGAGTCCCTGCTTTTGGTTCTTTGGGATAGATACCTGGGAGTAGAATGCCTCAATTATATGATAATTCTGTCTACATTTTTTAAGAACTGCCCTATCATTTTCCACAGCAGCTGCACCATTTTACATTCCCATTAGCAGTGTGCAGGAGTCCTTGCCAACACTTGCTGCTTTCTCTTTGTTTGTTTTTTAATAGCCCTACTAAATGGGCTTGAAGTGGTATCATATTGTGATCAGAAGGTTAGTTTTGCCTGTGTTAAGTTTGAAATGCCTATTAGACATCCAAGTAAATACATCAAATTGGATATATGGATCTGGATGTGAGGGGAGAGGTTGGGGTGGCTAGACAGATTTGGGGGTCAGAATCTGTGGGTGGTACTTAAAGCCATGAGCCTGGCTGGGAAAAAAAAAAATTATCTGGGTCTGCACCGTCCGGAATAGTAACCACTAGCCAGATGCGGCCATTTAAATGTATATTAATTAAAATTAAGTAAAACTTAAAGTTGACTTACTTAGTTACATCAGCTGCATTTCAAGTACTCGACAGCTACATTTGACTAGTGGCTATTATATTGGACAGTACGGATGTAGAGCATTTCCATCATCGCAATTCCACTGGACAGCACCGGTATGGGGACTATGTAAGATTTTTTTAAAAAGGGGGTGGGGGGGGCGCCTGGGTGGCTCAGACGGTTAAGCGTCCGACTTCGGCTCAGGTCATGATCTCGCAGTCTGTGAGCTCGAGCCCCGCAACGGGCTCTGTGCCGACAGCTCAGAGCCTGGAGCCTCCTTCAGATTCTGTGTCTCCCTCTCTCTCTGCTCCTCCCCTGCTCTCTCTCTCTCTCTCTCTCTCTCTCTCTCTCAAAAACAAATAGACATTAAAAATAAAGAAATAAAAGAAAAAAGAGGTCCAAGCACTGAATCACAGGGCACTTCAACACTGAGATCTTTAGTGGAGTGGGGTACAGGTTGGCCTAAAGGTAGGGTTACCTGATGGCCCTCTTTTCCAGGGACAGTCCAGATTGTGCCTGTGGGTCTGAGATGATTAACAGCAGCTCCTTAAATTCTGAAACGCACTCCACTTTGACAATATGGTCACCCTACCTACCCCCCACTCCACGCTTACTTACTCTGCAGTAAGAATTACCAGGCGGCGTCTCCTGTAAAGCAGGGGTGCGGAGCTTCGGTGATCCACACAGTCCATACCTGGGCTCCTCCACCAGTTACCGGGAGCCAGTTAGAGGGCTGGGGATGGTCTGCTTCTCCCCGTGACTAACCCGCGGAGGAAAAGTCTGTGCCCATCGGAGGCCACGCCTCTGGTACTGACAGGAAGCAGGTGTCAACTCACAGCCCCTGTCCTCAGGGTCATGAGGGCAAGCAGAGAGCTTTGGTCCACTTTCCCCTTCTGTTTGCTGGTTCTGATACGCTAAACCAAAGATGAGTTTAGATTGGCAAAGTTTGGGCTGTGAGATCTCCTGCTAGAATTTCCATCTCACCTGCAGCCTACCCTGTGGGGACCATCTGGTTATTTACAGCAAATCTCACCTTACTCGTTACCATTTACATGCACATGCAAAACTAAGGGAGAGCCTGAAGAGCTAGGAATGTGAGGATCCGAGGCACTCCCACGTCAGTCACTCCATGTTTCGTTAGCCAGGTGGGCTGGAAAAGGAGAGAAAACCAGGAAGTCATGGGCACACATTCCAAAATCCCCCGTGACATCTTCAGAAGGAATGAAACCCCATGGCTGGCAAAAACAAAAGCCCCTGTTCAGTTCTGAAGTTTAGATGCGCGTTGGCACCGTTCTAGCTCAACCTTTCATTTCCATGGAAACCATTCATGATGCCACACACACGGAAATGGGGATTCTGACCAGAGCGAGACAGGAGTAGCAGCCCTGAAAACTAGCTTTCCAGTAAGCCTGTGGCAGAGGGAAGGGCAGGAAAAGCCGTGGAGCCGTACTAGAGGGAGAGCAGCACTCTCGGGGTCCCCAGGATGAGCCCTGGTAGCCCGAGTAGAGCCCACCGACCCCAGAGTTGGTTCTGATGACCTGGCCGGCTACATGTCCCAGCCCGAATCTGCTTTACTTTTTTCCTCTTCTTTTCTAATGCAAAAAGCGTGTTCTACAGTGGGTGGGAGAGGGCTCTTTGCTGTAACTCAAGCATAGGAAGGTGTGGGATGGAGGGAGCAGAAATCACCCATGGTATCAGTTTCCTGTGGCTACGGTCACAAAGTACCACAAACTGGGGGGTGGGGGGGTGGGGGGAGGTTCGAGACTTGAAATTTATTCTCTCACAGTTCTGGAGGCCGAAGTCTGAAATCCGGATATGAGTAGAGCCATGCTCCCTCTGAAGACTCTAGGGGAGAACCCTTCCTACCTCTTGCAGCCTCTGGGGGCTCCTGGCGTCCCTTGGCTTGCAGACACGTGGTTCCAGCCTCTGCCTCCGTCTTCACGTGGAGGCACGTGTCCGTGTCTCAAATCTCCCTCTACGTTTTCTCGTAAGAACACCTGCCTTTGGATTTAGGGCTCACCCTAAATCCAGGATGATCTCATTTCGAGATCCTTAATGACATCTGCAAAGACCCTTTTTCCAAGTAAGGTCACATTCACAAGAATGAAGACGTGGACGTACCTTTCTGGGGGCCTCTATGCCACCCAGCAACACCCACTGTGCCCGGGGAGATGCAAAGATTCACATTCTCAGCCCCGAATTGGCGATCCTGCGGGTCTTGAGGCTTTGGCCAATTTCAGAGGAATGCCATGACCAGTTCCTATCATTCTGAGACCCGGCCCCCGGCGGGGAAGCTGCGTCGTTGCCATGGTGATCCCACACCTTGAAACTTTTGTCCTTTTGCATTGTTCGCAAGGAACTAATTACTGAAGCTTCGCTGGAAGCACAGGAATGTGAGAGGTGGAGTGTTTCTGCAGGAAAGTCATTGCTCAGAGTGGGGACCTTCCTCTCCCCTCATCAGACAAGCAGAATCTGTGACATTCTTTGGATTTTTCCCAACGACCGTTGTACTAGGCTCCGTCACAACGCTGAACATAATCAGGCACATCGTAATCGGACGCATCTGGGAGTGAGGAGAACAGCCCAGTGGGAAGGGGAAGTAAACGCTCCTCCTCACCCTCACCACGTCCCACCCCGCCAGTGCAAAAGAGCTTCTGAAAACGTTCGACCCCCCAGAAATGCGGGTGGTCACAGGGACGGGAAGGGAAAAGCCTCTGCATGAACATGATTCATACGGCTCTGCCAGGCACGGAGCAGAAGGGCCAGGCAGCGGGTGAAAGCCCGCTTCTCCGGGGAACTGCACCAACTTGGAGAAGTTGTTGTTTACCCTTCCTGCGGTTTTCGCGCAGGCGAGCTTGTAAAAGTGAAGATTTGGGGGGATTCGTCAGAGTTTCAGCCCGGATAGAATTTTGGCAAAAGGTCCTGTGGGTAATTTCCTTTCTCATGAACTCTTTCAATGCATCCATCCCCTTCTGGATTCAGCGTCCTGCCGGGGGGAGCATGCTGGGGCTCGAACACATGGCCTCAGTGAGCCCTGGAGAGCCTACCAGATAGGAGGATGCGGAGGAAAACCCCCTCCTTCTTAATGGTGTTTCACAGCAGAGGCAATTCCCCCTCCTATAACACCACACTCCAGACCAAGATCAGCGTACTAGTGAGGAGTCAGGAGTAGGAAAGCAAAGTCGAGGTGGTCTGGCAACTTGACGTTATCTTTACGGAAGGAGGTTATGCATTCTTGAGAGCACAGGACGATTAAATGCATTGTCCACAAACACAGAAAGACAGCCCCGCCTCTGGACAAGCAAGGGCTGCAGCTGCCATCTTTCTGAAACGTCTCCCCCTCCGTTCCAAACCTTCAAGAACAATTTTCTTTGCCCACTTGTGCCGATCGGGACCACAGGTCTGCCCTCTGCTGGTTAAGGGACATTCGAGCAGCGTTCCGACTGGGAAGGGGATGATGTTGGGTCCCTTAGCCACCTGCCTGGCCAGGGGATGCAAGGTGTCCTCACTCGCAGACACTTCATGTTGGAGTCAGAGCTGTTCAGTGGGCAAGAGAACATTCCCCGCCCTCGCGGGTCCCTGATAACATCTTCACACACCACGTGTCCGAGGGAAGGAGAAGACAAAACTGACGTCACCACACGTACGGCTCAAGGTCCTCTGAAACATCATTATACAAATCAGTCTAAAAGCGAAATAACGATTGAACGTAAAGGCAGTCCTGAAAGGAGACAGACCTGCGTCTGAATCCGTTTTGAGGTTTACGAGCTCTGAGGGCTGGGACGAGAACCTGCCTGAGCCCAGCTGCCTCCTCTGTCAAGTGAAGCTATCAGTAATTACATTGGAAAACTAAATGAGAGGAATCCGTTAGCACAGTGTCTGGCACATGGCAAATATTCTATAAATGGTAGTTTAAATATTTTCCTTTTTCAATCCATTTAATTCTAGAAGCTGGAAAATCTTTCTCCTGCGCGAGGGAAGTAGGAGAAGCCGATGTCAGAGAAGAGGGGTTCATGGCCTTGTGGTTCATGACCAGTGTCCTCACCTCTAACCCAGAGTTCTTGATTAGGGTGATTTTGTCCCCTAAGGGACTTCTGACAATATCTGGAGACATTTTTGGTTGTTGCGGCTGGGGAGGGGTACTACCGGCATCGAGGGGGTAGAGGTCAGGGTAGTGCTAAGCTCCTTACAGCGCACAGGACAGCCCCATAATTACCCAGCACCAAATGCTGATAGCACTGAGGTTGGAGACCCTGCTCTGACCTTTCTAGAAGCGTCTTGAGTTTTGTTTTGTTTTGTTTTGTTTTAATGTTTATTTTGTTTTTATTTTCTGAGGGGGGGCACATGAGCAGGAGAGGGGCAGAGAGAGAGGGAGACAGAATCCGAAGCAGGCTCCAGGCTCTGAGCTGTCAGCACAGAGCCCGACGCGGGCTCGAACTCACAAACCGTGAGATCATGACCTGAGCCAAAGTCGGACACTCAACCGACTGAGCCACCCGGGCGCCCCTGAGTTCTAGAACTTTCAATCTCTGGCAGGCAACATTTCTGCTAACTGCTTGGCTTTCCTGATGACAGTGGAATCAAGAATCCAGGATAAAATCTTCTGGATTTAAAAGCCACCCAAAGTCAAGAGATCAAGACTCCCAATATATTTTAAAAAATTTTTTAATTGTAATAAAATACACATAACATAAAATTTACTACCTAAACCATTTTTTGTCATTTATTAGTTTATTCTGAGAGAGAGTGAGAGCAGGGGAGGGGAAGAGGGAGAGAAGGAGAGAGAGAGAGAATCTCAAGCAGGCTCTGTGACGGTGCAGAGCCCTAGGGGGGGCTCGAACTCATGAACCATGAGATTGTGACCTGAGCTGAAATCAAGAGTCAGATGCTCAACTGACCAAACCACCCAGGTGCCCCCACCTAAAGCATTTTTAAGTGTACCGATCAATAGAGTAAGTACATTTACATTGTTGTGTGACCAATCTCCAGAGCACTTTCCATCTTGCAAAACTGAAACTCTATAACTCTACACCCATTAAACAACTCTTCATCTCCCCTCCCTACAAGGACTCCTGCTATCTCTGTAAGATAAAATACTCATGTGTGTTTTTTTTAATGACCTACAGCAGCCATCCAGGCACTGTAAGAGGATCTAGCCTAAGCAGACACAAATCCCAAGAATGCCAGAGACAACTTGGAAAGTGCCTTCTTCCTTGGTATCATTGAGCTGCTGATCTATCTACTTCTGGAACCCCCTGGCTTCTTGCTAGATAATAACTTCTGTTTCAGGGAGAAAACATGTAAAAACAAATTAAAATAACCAGCCAACCAACAAAATACCCATAGGTTTTTCTTTGAAGTTGGCACTTAATTTAAAAGAAGACATCTCTTTGGGGCACCTGGGTGGTTCAGTCAGTTGAGTGTCCAACTCTTGATTTCAGCTCAGGTCATGATCCCAGGGTCTTGAGATTGAGCCCCACGTTGGGGTCTGTGCTGAGCATGGAACCTGCTTAAGGTTCTCTCTTTCTCTCTCCCTCTGCTCCTCTCCTCCACTTGTGCTCTCTCTCTCAAAAAAGCAAATAAGTTTAAAAAGAAGACATTTCTTCAAACCCGGCATGACTCTATGGTCAAAGCGGGTCCCCTCTGTGACAAAGCCACCTCCACTTGTCTCTCCTTGGGGTTCCCAAGAAACGATGGGTAAGGGAGCTGGGCAGCTTATCACACTACAGAACCACGTATTCCCTGAGATCAGGGATGTTTGTGAAGAAGGCTGACCGACCCCAATTCAGAAAGGCTTAGAGTTTCCCTTGGCTCTCTGCTAGGCTCCTGGGGTCCCTGGCACCTCAGCCTGAGCTCTGTCGCCCTGCCTATCAGTGGATGAAAACATCTCTCTGCTTCCCCACTTCCATCATCTTTTGCTTCGAGCTCTCTTTCCTCTTGGTTTCAGTGCACGTTAAATACACGCATGTACGTTAAGCTCTTATTACACGCAGACACACAACGCTGTTGGAAATAAAATACAAAGTATTTCAAGCACTTGCCTCCAGAGCTTACAGTCTAACAGAGGAAATAAACGTGTAAATGATGGAAATTTGTCAGTGGAATATAAGTGGTACGAATGGACATTACGTTGTACAAAAGGACTGAGATTAAACCTGATGAGACACAGATAGGAGGTTGTCTTTGCTCCCTCCAGAAATCCCAATGAAAGGATAACAAAGGAACTAAGTATAAACACACATGGACACAATGCATGTAAGAGACAACATTGGACAAAAGATGCGACAAAAACTTGGAAGACGGAAAATGGAGGGGCCC